TTTTCTTTCCATCGAGCTATTTCATTACGTTGGAAACAGGTAATAATCACTAGAGAGCATAGTGGATTAGACAGCCCTTCGAAACCAAACTTGTGGAACTGCCCAATGATTTAAACGCAGGTTCGCACCTGTGCAGTGTCTTAGTGGAGGAGTACCTACGCAAATTGGTTTTTGTTCAAAATGTTGATGAAACGGTCCAATAAGTTGGAATATTATTCGTCATTGCCTTGTAAGCTGAAAATAGCATAAATACAGTTTTATTGAAACTTAAAAATCGAAACTTAAGCATTCTTTTTATCTAGACAAACTTGAGGCAAATGAATACTTTAAATGTCAGATTCTGATTACAAAAAAAAAATCGAATAGTAGTGAGATTGCTGTGCCATTGGTCGTGCTATTGTGAAACTGTGGGTCGTCTGTCCATTGCAATAGAATTTTCAAGTTCGTGTACCGAATCACGCAGGCGTAAGGAAGAGCTACTGTATCTCCATATCGTGAATGACATAGTAAAAAAGTAAAAAAATGTCGAACTATACTATGCAAAAATAAAAATAAAAACAGTTGCAGTTTTCTAAGCAAAACTGCGGCGATTCAGGCGTGAAAAAAGCCTTTGCACCTGCCGAGTTCTAAGATCAGGGACCGCAAACAAAAGGTATGATCAAAACTAAAGGTCGTTCTCGTGGTTATTTAGCAGAAATCTATAGTTCTAAGCTTGAAAAGGTTGGCCACATCCCTTAATTATGGCAATATCATAGTACTATGAATATATGCAGCATAAGATGATTAAACAATAAACAAACAAAAGTTCCTTAGAAATTGTTTCTTATTTGATCATCCTTGAAAGCGTACTACATACTTTCGTTGTCATAGAAATCGTTCCCGAAAGTTTCGTTCTCATTCTGTTCTTCTTGAGAACATTCCCGAGAGGTTTGTTCGCTTTTTGTTCCTTACGGAAACGTTCCCGAAACTTTTGCTCTCATTTCATTCCCGTTCAAACTTTGTTCTGTTGTGGGAACGTTCTTAACATTGCATTTCGTTCTGGTGCAGAAATAAAGCATTTTTCCGATATTATCAAATGATGTGCAATATAATTAATTTCGATATCCGCAATATATCAATTTCCGCTCTGGAACTCGTCCTTTGAGACCGAATACCCAACACCAGTGTCAGTGCGGCTCAACAACTTGTCCTTTCCGACCGAACACAGCCTACTGGATTGTAATTACTTAAATACAGAGTAGCGAAGGCAGTGCGGCTCTGGAATTCGTCCTTTCAGGCCACCTACCCAGCACATTATTCACCGATCCTGCTTCGGAATGTTGT